GAACTCGGATCGCTGGATTCAAAGTCCAGAGTGCTAACCATTACACCATAGAACCGCATGATTACTAGTTGACAATTCTAACTGAAGATTTTTTATATATTTTTGTAGATTTAAAATATATTTTTTTATTTTTTAAACTATTAAAAAAAGAAAAAAATATATATTTTATTATAATGATATAACAAAATAGTTCGAAAACAACAATTTTGTATTACATATTTTATTTTGGCTTTGATCAATTTATTATTTATTCATACAATGCCTTACATTTTTTATGAAATCTTAAATTTAAATATTTTTTAATTTATTATTGTATAAATTTTTATTATTTTTTATTTCCCCGAAAAAATATTGATATCTTCGGTGAACGTTCTCATCCACCTAGGTTCTACCGAGATTTGAACTCGGATCGCTGGATTCAAAGTCCAGAGTGCTAACCATTACACCATAGAACCATGTAACGGACGCTGGTTAAACTAACTACTTCAATGTGTGGTGAAATAAGAGAAAAACAATAAGTTCATTACAGTGAATGGGGTGAAAGTGGTGGTGGGTAGTAAACACATGGAGATGTGTGTGTGTGTAGACACTCGCTGAGTGTTGCTGTTATAAAAATGTTATGAAAAAAATAACAACAATGTTAATCAATTGTTGTACAATAAATCGGATGCTGTTAAAACAACCACAAATGGTCTTCATAATGTATGTAATAGGAATCAATTATTTTAGAACAGATCGGTCGGTCGGTCGAATCGAAGTATATACATATAGAATTCTGAGGAGGAAAATATAGGTTTGGAAATATAAAATAATATTTTTTCAGGGATTTTTAAACAACTTCTTTTCAAGACCCTAATAAGGCTCTGATTTTAAGAAAATATATTTTCAAGACCCTAATATGGCCTGAATTTTATAGCGGACAAATTTTCACAGATTCAATAGGGCATGGATTTTATTAAGGAATACGAAGCCCTCATAAGACGAAGATTTGTTAAATAATATTTTCAAGGCTTCAAACGGCGAGGATTTTTAAGGCCGTAATAAGGCATGAATTTTTAATGGATATTTTTCAAGGTCCAACCAAGGCATGGATTTTGAATGGATATTTTTCAAGTTCCAACCAAGGCATGGATTTTGAAGGGATATTTTTCAAGGTCCAACCAAGGCATGGATTTTGAATGGATATTTTTCAAGGTCCAACCAAGGCATAGATTTTTCAAGGACAAGCGGAGAACTAGCGGAGGAGTTGATTTTTTTAAACAATATTTTTTCATGCCCTAGCGGAGGCGTGGATTTTTTAAAGTATATTTCTTCAAGGCCTAGCGGAGACTTTGATTTTTTAAAAAATAGATGGGCGGATTTTTTAAAGAATATTTCTTCAAGGTCTAGCACAAATGAAAGTTTGAGATTTTTTTTTCATTTTTATACGCTCCACCATAAGTCATCGAAATATCCTTTTCCGACCCTATAAAGTATATATTCTTGATCAGGGTAAAATTCTAAGACGATCTAGCCATGTCTGTCTGTCCGTCCGATTGTTTTAATAACGCTATTTTCGGAATGAAATGAGATAGATCGCCTAGAGTCGTCTTTTGTTTGCAGACAGTTCGAGTTCGAAGATGGGCTTTATCAATAGGCATAGTTCCCATATAAGGGTACCCCCAAATTTTCTGTATTTTAGGGTTCTTGAGCGCGTTTTTTAACCGAATTTGCTGAAATTTGGTACATTGGGTTTCTATTGGGTACTAAATGTCTCCACAAAAAATTATAAATATAGGTCCACTTTTTCTGGTAGCCCCCATATAACGGTACCTCCTAATTTTCTGTATATTCTTGAGCGGGGTAAAATTCTAAGACGATCTAGCAATGCCCGTCCGTGTGTTGTAATAAAGCTATCTTCTGAATGAAATGAGATAGATCGCCACAATTTTGCATAGAGTCGTCTTTTGTCTGCAGACAGGTCAAGTTCGAAGATGGGTTATATGGGCAATCCACATTTAGGCATAGCCCCCATATAAGGGTACCGCCCAATTTTCGATATTTTGCGGTTCTTGAGCGCGTTTCTCAACCGAATTCGCTGAAATTTAATACAATGGATTCTTATTGGGTACCAAATTTCTTCACTAAAAATTATAAATATAGGCCAATATTTTCAGGTAGCCCCCATATAAGACATCCTCAATTTTCGGTATTTTGGGGTTCTTGAGCGCATTTTTCAAACGAATTCGTTGTAATTTGGTATTTTGTAGTCGCATATGGTAACAAATCTTTCTACCAAAAAATAATTAATATTCGCCTCCTTTTAGGGGTAGTTCCCATATAACCGCATTCTTAATTAAAATAGTTAGCAGATTAGTTCTGTATGTAGGGGTTGTCCCCATATAGGCGTATTCTACCATAGTATAGGGGATAGTCCTTACTCGCAATAGCCAGTTTTACCCTACAAATTATGGAATTCTAAGACTATTTAGTCATCGGATGTAATCATTCCGCTTTCTAAGGAAATCGTGATAAAAACTCGAACCTGACGATAATGAAATATATATTGGTCAGCATTTAGACGTCTCCTCCATATAATAATACCTCCTAAAGGAACGAATTGAGACACAAATATTGGGTTCGAAATTGACATATGTCGGTCATTAATTAGGCATAGCCCTCATATAATTATAAGCCCAAATATTCGCTAATTCCTACACTATGTAATCTAACTTTGTAATCAAAATTTCCGTAGTTTTAGGATTGTATATTCTCTACCATGCGTTATAAGTATCAGTCAAAGCGTTGGGGTTTTCATAAAAAATCGCTGAAATTTGTATTTGGTGTACACAATGGTTTACATAAACCGCTTCGTAGAATTATCGGTACATGTTCACTTTTCGGTATGTTCCCTATATCAAGTATCTGTAAGTATTCCTATGGTGGAGTGTATTCAATGTTCGACCCGGCCGAACTTAACATTTTTTCACTCCTTTATTTTGTTATTATTTTAATAAATAACCATAAAAAATCATATCTTCTAGGTTCTACCGAGATTTGAACTCGGATCGCTGGATTCAAAGTCCAGAGTGCTAACCATTACACCATAGAACCGCTTGAAATTCACCATGGCAAAAATAAAACATACACCGTGAGAAAAACAGAACAACAACAATACAAATGAACACCCTTTGTGCCGATCGCGAAACAAACATATTTTTATATATATATTTATTTATAGCGCAAACATTAGTATCTCTTTCTTTATCTGCGGATAGATAGAAGACAATGAATGACCAATCGGCAAATACCAAAGATAAGAAACTACCACACACGTGGAGGCTAATCACATCAGTTGTACTATTTTAGATTGCTTTTATAGGCAAAGGGGCTCGAACTAAGAGATTTGTTGCAGATACTACGAATTACCGGGCCACATTTTGAAATAGGGCCTTGGATGGGCCTTGAAAAAATATTCTTTTTAAAACCCACGCCTTGTTAGGGCCTTGAAAAAAAATTCTTTTTAAAACCCACGCCTTGTTAGGGCCTTGAAAAAATATTCTTTATAAAATCCACGCCTTGTTAGGGCCTTGAAAAAATATTCTTTATAAAATCCACGTCTTGTTAGGGCCTTGAAAAAATATTCTTTTTAAAACCCACGCCTTGTTAGGGCATTGAAAAAATATTCTTTATAAAACCCACGCCTTCTTAGGGCCTTAAAAAATATTCTTTTTAAGCCCACGCCTTGTTAGGGCCTTGAAAAAATATTCTTTTTAAAACCCACGCCTTGTTAGGGCCTTGAAAAAATATTCTTTTTAAAATCCACGCCTTGTTAGGGCCTTGAAAAAATATTCTTTTTAAAACCCACGCCTTGTTAGGGCCTTGAAAAAATATTCTTTTTAAAACGCACGCCTTGTTAGGGCCTTGAAAAAATATTCTTTATAAAACCCACGCCTTGTTAGGCCCTAGAAAAAATATTCTTTATAAAACCCACGCCTTGTTAGGGCCTTGAAAAAATATTTTTTAAAACCCACGCCTTGTTAGGGCCTTGAAAAAATATTCTTTATAAAACCCACGCCTTGTTAGGGCTTGAAAAAATATTTTTTAAAACCCACGCCTTGTTAGGGCCTTGAAAAAATATTCTTTTTAAAACCCACGCCTTGTTAGGGCCTTGAAAAAATATTCTTTTTAAAACCCACGCCTTGTTAGGGCCTTGAAAAAATATTCTTTTTAAAACCCACGCCTTGTTAGGGCCTTGAATAAATATTCTTTATAAAATCCACGCCTTGTTAGGGCCTTGAAAAAATATTGTTTTTAAAACCCTCGCCTTGTTAGGGCCTTGAATAAATATTCTTTATAAAATCCACGCCTTGTTAGGGCCTTGAAAAAATATTCTTTTTAAGCCCACGCCTTCTTAGGGCCTTGAAAAAATATTCTTTTTAAAACCCACGCCTTGTTAGGGCCTTGAAAAAGTATTCTTTATAAAACCCACGCCTTGTTAGGGCCTTGAAAAAATATTCTTTATAAAACCCACGCCTTGTTAGGGCCTTGAAAAAGTATTCTTTATAAGCCCACGCCTTGTTAGGGCCTTGAAAAAATATTCTTTATAAAACCCACGCCTTGTTAGGGCCTTGAAAAAATATTCTTTTTAAAACGCACGCCTTGTTAGGGCCTTGAAAAAATATTCTTTATAAAACCCACACCTTGTTAGGCCCTAGAAACAAATTTCTTTATAAAATCCACGCCTTACAGGGGTCTTAAACAAATATTAATTATTCACCATGGGTAGCTCTGTTGTTGTTTTTCTTTTTTTTTTTTTTTTTTGAGTGTATCTGCCAGGCAGTCTGTCAGTTTGCCCATGACAACCGCAGCAGGACAAAACCCCCACTGTGGTAACCATGACAATATAACTTCGATTTTGAATTGTTTATCATAACAACTGACATTTCGAATTGAATCGAATTATTTTTCAATAAAAAACAATTCATTTTTTTTCTTATTCGAAATCCCAACCATCAAAAATGTCCCAACCCAAGAAAACATTACTGGAACGTTATGCGATACCGGTGCATCATTTGGATTTCAAATATATAGCCGAGTGTAATGATGGTCGGGAAATTGAGAAAATCGTGCACATCCTACGATCCGGTGAGGAAGGTTATTATCCCGATCTGACCAAATGTGCCGAAGAAAAATTACGTGAGCTTAAGCCACAGAGTCGTCTCTTTCGGGTGGAGGAACAAATACGTGGACGTGAGGCCCTACCCGAGCAGGAATGGAAACCGATTTATGTGAGGAGATTATTTTCTTAATTGTCACCCTAATAAATAATATTAAAAAATTATCCTCTATTTTAGGATTGGAATAAGGATATAAAAACAAAAGATAAGACCCTACAACAATTGAGTAAGGAGGCGAGTGGGGAACCTCAATTGCCACCGGTACGCAAACAAGCTCAAATTTCCTTAAAGAAGTTAGAAAATCAATCTTCGGGAAATTCCAAAAAAGAAACAAATTCGCAACAAAAGGTAGAGCGTATCAAATCCACCGATTATAGCAAATGGGACAAATATGATCCTGAAGAAGAAATTCTACGCCAGGACTTGGCCGAAGAACGGGCCCAAGAGGAAATTGAAAGAAAAAATCGTTTAAATTTACAGAAAATTAAAACCACTTCGCCAACAATTGAAGAAATTTTCGAAGACAGTGAGAAGGAAAAGGATGATGGACCGAAACTCAGCGATATTGAAAAAGAAAAATTATCCGAAGAGTAAGTAGAGCTTCATCCCTTATGGGAGCCTTGAAAACGTATTCTTTAAAAAATTCAGGCTTGGTATAGAACTTGAAAGATATCCTTTGAAAAAATCCACGCCTAGGATAGGACCTGAAAATATGCTTTGAAAAAATCCACGCCTAGGATAGGACCTGAAAATATGCTTTGAAAAAATCCACGCCTAGGATAGACCCTGAAAAAATTATTCTTTAAAAATCCAAGCCTAGGATAGGCCCTGAAAAAGTATTCTTTAACAAATCCACGCCTAGGATAGGCCCTGAAAAAAATCCTCGCCTAGGATAGGCCCCGAAAAATATCCTTTAAAAAATCCACGACTAGGATACGCCGTGAAAAATATCCTTTCAAAAATCCAAAGACCTGAAAAATATCCTTTACAAATTCCTCGCCTATGATAGGCACTGAAAAATATCCTTTACAAATTCCACGCCTAGGATAGGCACTGAAAAATATCCTTTACAAATTCCACGCCTATGATAGGCACTGAAAAATATCCTTTGAAAAAATCCACGCCTAGGATAGGCCCTGAAAAATATCGTTTGAAAAAATCCACGCCTAGGATAGGCCCTGAAAAATATCCTTTGAAAAATCCACGCCTAGGATAGGACCTGAAAAATATCATTTGAAAAATCCACGCCAAGGATAAGATCTGAAAAATATCCTTTCAAAAATCCACGCCTAGGATACTCCCTGAAAAATATCCTATGAAATATCCATGCCTAGGATAAGACCTGAAAAATATAATTTACAAATTCCACGCCTAGGATAGGCTCTGATAAATATCCTTTACTAATTCCTCGCCTAGGATAGGACCTGAAAAATATCATTTACAAATTCCACGCCTAGGATAGGACCTGCAAATAATACTTTGAAAAATACACGCCTAGGGTAGGACCTGAAAATAATACTTTGAAAAATACACGCCTAGGATAGGCACTGAAAAATATTCTTTAACTAATCCACGCCTTGTAAAGTCCTTCATAAAATATTCTTTAAAAAATCCACGCAAAAATCCCCTTATCAATGCCTTTAACAAATATTATTAAAAAATCCACGCCTTGTATAAGGTCCTAAAGCAATATTCTTTAAAAAATCTCTCCTTATTAGGACCTAAAATATTTTTTTAAAACATCCACGCCTCATTTCAGATTCCGTTTACGTGGCAATGAATATTTTCGCTCCAAGGATTATGATTTTGCATTGGCCGAATATACCAAGGCAATACAAATATATCCTGAAAAGGCCGTTGGTCCCTATAATAATCGAGCCGTAACATGTAAGTAAAAGTTTTAGAAATCTGAAACAATTTTCAAAGTAAAGTAATTGCCTCTTTGGTTTAGATATTAAACAACAAAAGTTCAGTGAGGCCATCAAAGATTGTGAGTCCTGTCTGGCATTGGATCCGAAAAATCTAAAAGCCCGGCTACGTTTGGCCGAGGCAAGTTATGCCTATGGCCGAAGAAGGGAGGTAATGTCACACACCGAACCACAATTACAAATAATTTAAATTTAATTTAACCCCCTACCCCCCGTTTAGTCCTATCAACTCTATATCAATGTCCTGGAAGTTGATCCGGAAAATTCGGTAGCTCTTAAGGCCATAACGGAATTGCGTAAAATATTTGAAGATTTGCCACCACCCAATGCTCGAAGAATGCAAATAATTGATGAAGGTTCATCTTCGAAAAAGACCGAGTCGAAAACTAATTCAACCTCTGTGAAATCCGGAATAGAAATCAAGAAAACAGTGACGATTCCCAAAAGTCCACCGAAAGGAGAAACCAAAATCAAAGATTATGACTTGGCTGATTTAGTTAAACCCAATCGTTTAATTAAAAATAAAATATTAAAAGCTGCTGAAAATTTGGGAAAATTGCAAACAAAACCTTCCAGCAAGGGTGCCGCTGCAGGAGATCAGAAACCGGCAATTGAAACTAAGAAGAATACTAAGGTGGTTGAGGAGGATATGCTCTGTAGAAGTTTAACAATACCTGGAAATGTAAGGCCCTCTGGAAAGGGTAAAATTTTAATAGAGGAGATTAAGTAAGATTATATGTATGTGTGTGTGATAAAGAAAGGAATAAATACTGAGATGTGAAATTAACGTCTAAATAGTTAAAAATATTATTCAAAAATCCACGCCTAGAATAGGCCCTGAAAAAGTATTCTTTAAAAAATCCACGCCTTGTATAGGCCCTGAAAAAGTATTATTTAAAAAATCGACGACTAGAATAGGCCCTGAAAAAGTATTCTTTAAAAAATCCACGCCTTGTATAGGCCCTGAAAAAGTATTCTTATAGGCCCTGAAAAAGTATTCTTTAAAAAATCCACGCCTAGTATAGGCCCTGAAAAAGTATTCTTTAAAAAATCCACGCCTAGTATAGGCCCTGAAAAAGTATTCTTTAAAAAATCCACGCCTAGTATAGGCCCTGAAAAAGTATTCTTTAAAAAATCCACGCCTAGTATAGGCCCTGAAAAAGTATTCTTTAAAAAATCCACGCCTAGTATAGGCCCTGAAAAAGTATTCTTTAAAAAATCCACGCCTAGTATAGGCCCTGAAAAAGTATTCTTTAAAAAATCCACGCCTAGTATAGGCCCTGAAAAAGTATTCTTTAAAAAATCCACGCCTAGTATAGGCCCTGAAAAAGTATTCTTTAAAAAATCCACGCCTAGTATAGGCCCTGAAAAAGTATTCTTTAAAAAATCCACGCCTAGGATAGGCACTGAAAAAGTATTCTTTAAAAAATCCACGCCTAGTATAGGCCTTGAAAAAGTATTATTTAAAAAATCCACACCTAGGATAGACCCTGAAAAAGTATTCTTTAAGGGAATTCCCCTCTTTTTCATTCAATATATACAAATTATTACGCCTTCAATGTATTACTCATATTTTCATAATGCCACCTCTCAAATCAGTTTCCCCATCTCTGATCATAGAACACAAAGTTGTATGTGTGTGTGTGCGCGTTTCCACTCTTTGTTGGTTCTCTATTCGAGAAATGTAAACAAAGAATTCTCCACAGAAGCCCCAAAACACACCGACAGACAGACACTTTTGACACGCGTTGTGGGGCCTCCAGTCGATCGCCTCCTACAGACTACCTATAAAACATAAACAAATCAACCACAACAATTTAGTACTTGACTAGCCTTTTCCGAATGACGGTGTGTGACAGACCGACCTACCGATCGACGACAACCCGTTGAATTTTGAATTAAATTTCATTTTTAGAAAAATGTAAGAAATGTGTGAGATCGTGCTACAAGTGTGAACATAAAGAAACCCACTAACAACAACAAGCCATTAATAATAATAATGAAAACATTAACAACAACAACCACAGCAACAACATTTATCATCTATTTCAATCTGAATAAATAAGAAAACATAAAATCACCAATAGAGAACATAAAATTAAAAAAATCTATATCAGATGTGGAGGAGATGCATTCTGAAATAAGTGTGAAGTTATGTGACAGTGGAAATAATAAATTATGTTGAACATTTGAAAACGTGTGTGTTTGAAATAACAAAATATTAAAATATAATCAAGTTATGTGGAAATTCATGAAATGGATTAAAAAAATATCTTCAAGGCCAAACAGAGGCGTGAATTTTTTAAAGAATATTTGAGAATACCTCAAATAAGGAGTGGATTTTTTAAAGAATATTTTTTCAGGGCCTATCTAAGGCGTGGATTTTTTAAAGAATATTTTTGAGAAGACCTCAACCAAGGCGTGGATTTTTTAAAGAATATTTTTGAGAAGACCTCAACCAAGGCGTGGATTTTTTAAAGAATATTTTTGAGAAGACCTCAACCAAGGCGTGGATTTTTTAAAGAATATTTTTGAGAAGACCTCAAGCAAGGCGTGGATTTTTTAAAGAAGACTTTTTGAGAAGACGCCTTATTTACCTTAAATCGGACGAAATTACATATGGGAGCTATATCTAAATCTGAACCGATTTTCACGAAATTTAACACACATCTTTCTAGACTTGATTCAGTACGCTATGCCAAATTTCGTGCAAATGAAAAGATATAAGGCGTGGATTTTTTAAAGAATATTTTTGAGAAGACCTCAAATAAGGCGTGGATTTTTTAAAGAAGACTTTTTGAGAAGACCTCAAATAAGGCGTGGATTTTTTAAAGAAGACTTTTTGAGAAGACCTCAAATAAGGCGTGGATTTTTTAAAGTATATTTTTGAGAAGACCTCAAATAAGGCGTGGATTTTTTAAAGAAGACTTTTTGAGAAGACCTCAAATAAGGCGTGGATAGCCCCTTTATAAAATAGATTTAAAAAAATCCACGCCTGGGGATAGCCCCTTTATAAAATAGATTTAAAAAATCCACGCCTGGGGATAGCCCCTTTATAAAATAGATTTAAAAAATCCACGCCTGGGGATAGCCCCTTTATAAAATAGATTTAAAAAATCCACGCCTGGGGATAGCCCCTTTATAAAATAGATTTAAAAAATCCACGCCTGGGGATAGCCCCTTTATAAAATAGATTTAAAAAATCCACGCCTGGGGATAGCCCCTTTATAAAATAGATTTAAAAAATCCACGCCTGGGGATAGCCCCTTTATAAAATAGATTTAAAAAATCCACGCCTGGGGATAGCCCCTTTATAAAATAGATTTAAAAAATCCACGCCTGGGGATAGCCCCTTTATAAAATAGATTTAAAAAATCCACGCCTGGGGATAGCCCCTTTATAAAATAGATTTAAAAAATCCACGCCTGGGGATAGCCCCTTTATAAAATAGATTTAAAAAATCCACGCCTGGGGATAGCCCCTTTATAAAATAGATTTAAAAAATCCACGCCTGGGGATAGCCCCTTTATAAAATAGATTTAAAAAATCCACGCCTGGGGATGACTACCACTTTGGTTCAATTCATTATGCCATGCCAAATTTTGTGAAAATCGAAAGATATATAGCGACTTTGGTACACCATTTACATAAGATCGGACGAAACTATTTATGGGAGTTATATCTAAACCTAGACCGATTTTCACGAAACTTAACACACATCATTCCAGACTTAGTTCAATACGCTGTCCTATATTTTGTGCAAATCGTAAGATATATAGGGACTTTGGTGCACCATTTACCTAAAATCGGACGAAATTATATATGGGAGCTATATCTAAATCTGAACCGATTTTCACGAAACTTAACACACATCACTCCAGACCTAATTCATTACGCTGTGCCAAATTTCGTGCAAATCGAAAGCTATTTAGGGACTTTGGTGCACCAATTACCTTAAATCGGACGAAATTACATATGGGAGCTATATCTAAATCTGAACCGATTTTCACGAAATTTAACACACATCTTTCTAGACTTGATTCAGTACGCTATGCCAAATTTCGTGCAAATCGAAAGATATATAAGGGCTTTGGTGCAAAATTTACCTTAAATCGGACGAAATTACATATGGGAGCTATATCTAAATCTATACCGATTTTCACGAAACTTAGCACACATCATTCCAGACTTAATTCAATACGCTGTGCCAAATTTCGTGGACATCGAAAGATATATAGGGACTTTGGTGGACCATTTACCTAAAATCGGAAGAAAATATATATGGGAGCTATATCTAAATCTGAACCGATTTTTCCCAATTTCAATATGGTTTGTTCTTGAGCCAAATAAATGGGCTGTGCCAAATTTCATCCAAATCGGATGATAAATGATTTGTTTACAATTTAACATCAACAAACGGAGCGGGCGAACAGACGGACGGACATGCATAAATCGATTCAGAAAGTGATTCTATGCATATTCTCAAAAGGAACCGTGGGTGTATTTCGTTTCCTTTTGCCTGTTACAAACATATGCACAAAGACATAAGGGTATAAAAATCCACGCCTGGGGATAGCCCCTATATAAAATAGATTAAAAATAGTCATTAATTAATTTTTGAAAGAATCCACTCCTATTAATAGTTCTTGAAAAACAATTTTTTTTAAATCGACGCCTATTTATAGTCCTTGAAGAATATGTTGTAAAGTGTGTATTTTTTTGAAGGTGACCTTGACTACTTCCATTGAAGTTCCTTTACCATCTTTTGTTTAAAAATTCGATTTTGTTTATATGTGCCATTAAAAAAATATAATTTTTTTCACACTTCCAGACATTTTTTAAAGCAACAATTAAAATAAGAACACCGACAACATCAACAAAATGACGAAAAGGTAGTAAAATTCTGCTTATTTGAACTGCACCACAAAGATTACTAACCCTCTGCGATTAATCTGTTGCAATTCTTTCAGCAATCCGAATGTAAACAATCCCCATTTAAATACCATGACTTCGGATTTTTTATATCACATCAATATAAATGTGGCGGATACACAGAATCCAACAGAAATAATACAGCAATATGGTGATGTAAAGGTGAGAAGATAAGGTTTAAAAAATGGATTAAAATAGGGTCCAATAAAAACATGGTAGTAACATTTTGGGACCCTATAAACTGTTTAAAAATGTTTTGTAAAATTCTTACAATATATATTTTTTAATATATTTTTATATTTCCTTCAGTTTGTTTGTCTGGGTGGTACCAAAAATCGTATGCTGGCCCTGGCCAAATATTTACGCCACATACTTGGACTTGATGATAAAGTAGGTGAGTTGGTGGATATTAGTGAAGCTGGAAATCGTTATGCCATGTATAAGGTAAGACCTTTAAATAACCGATTACAATTTTAAAATAAAAAAATAATTTTTTGTGTTATGTAGGTTGGACCCGTCCTCTGCTGTTCCCATGGTGTGGGTATGAGCACCATGAGTGTCCTTTTACATGAATTGCTGAAATTGGTACATTATGCCCAGTGCAAAGATCCGGTATTTATTCGCCTGGGCACCAGTGGTGGTGTGGGTGTTAATCCTGGTACTGTTGTTGTGTCCAAGGAGGCATATAATGGCTATTTAAGGAATGAACATGAAATTGTAAGTTTGAAAGACAAAGAAGTCCTCTTTTGAAAAAAAACCAAGAGGCCATTCCCGAGGCCTTATACAAACAAGTACTTTTTTAAAAAAATCGTTAAAAAAACCCTAAAAAATTTTATATAAAAACTTCACGCCTTGTATAGGCCCTGAAAAAAATATTCCTTTAAAAAATCCCCGCCTTGTATAGGCCCTGAAAAACTATTCCTTTAAAAAATCCACACCTTGTATAGGCCCCGAAAAACTATTCCTTTAAAAAATCCACGCCTTATTTGAGCCCTAAAAAAAATATTCTTTAAAAATCCACGCCTAAAAAATATTCTTTAAAAATCCGCGCCTTGTCTAAGGGCCTACAAAATATTCTTTAAAAATCCACGCCTAAAAAATATTCTTTAAAAATCCGCGCCCTAAAAAAATATTCTTTAAAAAATATACGTCCTAAAAATATTTTTTTAAATATACACGCCCTAAAAAAATATTCTTTAAAAAATCCACGCCCTAAAAATATTCTTTAAAAAATCCACGCCCTAAAAAAATATTCTTTAAAAAATCCACGCCCTAAAAAAATATTCTAAAAAAATCCACGCCCTGAAAAACTATTCCTTTAAAAATCCACGCCTGGTATAGAAAACGCCATATTGCGCAAAAACTAAAATGGATGAAGTATTGATACCCACATCAATTGAAAGGTCTCAAAATGTACTGTCAGAATATACACACCATATGCCGGAAAACAAACCTTCGCCTAACGGATTTTTTCGATTTTGGTTGCAAGTCTCAGTGACAGTGGGGACTCTGGGTAGAAAACGCCTTATTGCGCAAAAACTAAAATGGATGCAGTATTGATACGCACATCAATTGAAAGGTCTCGAAATGTACTTTCAGAATATATACACCCTATGCCGAAAAACAAACTTTCGCCTAACGGACTTTCTCGATTTTCCTTGCAAGTCTCAGTGACAGTGGGGACTCTGTGTAGAAAACGCCATATTGCGCAAAAACTAAAATGGATGCAGTATTGATACGCACATCAATTGAAAGGTCTCGAAATGTACTTTCAGAATATATACACCCTATGCCGAAAAACAAACTTTCGCCTAACGGACTATAATCCACGCCTTGTATAGGCCCTGAAAAACTATTCCTTTAAAAATCCACGCCTTGTATAGGCCCTGAAAAACTATTCCTTTAAAAATCCACGCCTTGTATAGGCCCTGAAAAACTATTCCTTTAAAAATCCACGCCTTGTATAGGCCCTGAAAAACTATTCCTTTAAAAATCCACGCCTTGTATAGGCCCTGAAAAACTATTCCTTTAAAAATCCACGCCTTGTATAGGCCCTGAAAAACTATTCCTTTAAAAATCCACGCCTTGTATAGGCCCTGAAAAACTATTCCTTTAAAAATCCACGCCTTGTATAGGCCCTGAAAAACTATTCCTTTAAAAATCCACGCCTTGTATAGGCCCTGAAAAACTATTCCTTTAAAAATCCACGCCTTGTATAGGCCCTGAAA